CGCCCACCGAAGTGCACACTGGTTCCAGAGGGGCCAGACCCAGCCCGCAGGTGCCAGCAGGAGCCATGGCAGCAAGGCCCCCTGCGGAAGCTTTCTCCCTGGGCCAGCTTGGAAGAACGGGGCCGGCAGGAGCCGGGCAAGAGCTTGGAGTGCGAGGTCACGCAGGCTGGGACGGGCTCTCTGGACCAGCACCCACCTCTGTGCGTGGAAGACTTCGGGGGACATTTTAGATCTAACAGTAGCAACATATACGAGGGAACGATGCTCATGAGGCCAGCACGGCCACAGGATCAGACCTGATAAAGACATTCCAGGAATGGACATGCTGGGCAGGCTTTCTCATGAACACACCTGCAAACATATAAAGTTAATGGCAATTTAAAGCTTGAAGTACATAAAAGAAATAATGTAGTATGACTCAGTCAAAAGGGGTTATTTAAAAATGCAAGTCAGAATTTCTGTTCAAATAAATCTATAAAATTCATCGCATTAATCAAATACAGCAGTGATCACATAACTATCTCCAAAAGATGCTGAGATAGCTGCTACAAAGAGTGCCTTTTTATACTGAACCTAGCAAATGGGGAGTGGAAGGCAATCACCTGGAAGCAGATATAGAGGCCCCTTTAGAAACAAATACACAAGCAAATGAAAAGTACAAAGAAAGCCCCTCTAGAACACAGCGCTGAACAGCAAAGGGTGGCACACACAGTGAGGGCTGCTCTTACTACTGTCCACCAGTGCTCTCACGAGTCCCCACCGCTCTAGTACACCGTGCAAGGAGAGGCATGAGAGGCACCTAGTTGGAAGGAAGGAATAAGCCTGCTATCACTTATGGACAATTTTCTATGCTGAAAGTCCAGCTCAATCTACTGATAATTACAATATCTGAGCTTAGCAAGGTTGCTAGGCACAAAACCAAGAATCAGTGCAATAGGAGAGAAAAACCTCGAAAATCTGTGGACAGTACTAACTGACTCTAAAATTTCAAAGAAAAAATTGAAGTGCCCAAATAGGAAAGATTTATACTGCCGGGCACAGCCTCACACCCAAGCTGCCGTGGCTGAAAGTGCATGGTCCCGACGTGCAAGGGCAGAACAGGGAGCATCAGCTGGCAGACCGGGAGTGCGGATGCAGCCAGGTGATGACATCCCACTCATGTGCAGCAGGGCGGGTGCAGGGCCTGCTGGGGCCCCACAGGAAAGTCTCGCAGCGGCCACTGTGGCCTACTGTACACAGGAGATGGTGAGAGAATGTGTTCACGATTCTGCAGCTCCCTTTCTGTTTTCTGACTCTGGGCACTGAAGCTAGGGCATTTACACTGAGCTGCATCCTTTGCCTTTTTTAATCTTGAGACAATCTCACTCAGTTCTCCAGATGAAGAACTTCCTGAACTTCTGAGCCGCCTGCCTCAGCCTACCAAGTGATGGGAGTGCAGGCATGCTCCAGCAAGCCAGCTGGGAAAGCTCTCCTGAATGCAACACAGACACACAACAGGGGACACTGAGAAATCAGACCACAGGAGAATAAGAACACATGTGCCGCGCTTCTACTGCAAGGACAGCGAAAGGCACAGTCCACAGTGGAAAAGGGGCTCCCAGCATGGACAATGACAAAGGGCTGAGCTCCAGAAGATGAGAAACAAGGAGACAGCTCAGCAAAACCGGTAAGAGACCTGCATGACCACAGCAGAGGAAACACCTGCTATGCAACAACGCGTGCAAACACAAGGCACAGCAGGTACCGCCACATCACTGCTTACAAGCCCCAATGTGGCAGGCCTGGTGAGGACAGGACAGCGAGCAAAAGTCTCCTGCAGGAGCGGCGGGAGTGGGGCCTGGCACCACTACTCTGTGAGCCTGCAGGCATGGTGCACACCCTAGGGCTCAGCAGCTCGCTGTGCAAGTGTCCACTCACCAGAAAGCACATAGCAGCTGGTGCTCCAGCCAGGAAGCAATGCAAACACCCACTGGTCACAGAACAGTCACCATGCTGGCATGTCTAGTGATGTGACAGGAAGCAGCAGTAACAGGGAAGGAACTTGCAAAGATCAAATTGTACACATTTCATGAGCTGTGAATGGAAGCAGCAGCAAGACACCAAAGCTTACGTATTAATGGCTCCATTTATATACATCTCAAAAGCAGCCGCATTAACCTGTGCTAGAGGTCGGGAGGAGAGTGACTTCGGGAGGAAGAGTGCTCTGGTGGCTGCAGATACCTGGTGCCTGATGCTTTGTCTGGGGGAGGCTACAAGGTGGCACAAGTTGATTAATTCCCTAGCAGCTCCCCATACACTATCTCACATTCCTACATATTACATAGACAAAGTGAAAGACAGGCTTTACAAGAGTGCATTATCTGCACAGCTATGCTGCTGTGCATTATTATAGCTTAAAGTTTCAACAAAAGCTTATTAAAATGATTTATCTACATGGTTGGCCATTCTCACTATTTGAGGTTTGTCCATGCTGAATTTTAAATACTAAGTGCCTTCTGGGAGAGACAACTCCCCATGTCACCTGCTCCCTGTGCGTCAGCGGGGCAGGGACATGGAGTGGGGCAGGCGACTCCCTCACTGGTCACCCCATGTCTACCTACAGTGGCTGCAAGAGCAACACTGGCTCACATGCTGGACTCATCCAGCTGACACCACCACCACTGCCAGGGTGCTCCCCCCAGACCATCTACTCCCAGGCAGACTATGGAGTACTTCTACCATCCGTGGGCTCAGTCCATGAGATGGGAAAACCCCTACCCTGACAACTCCAAGCACTCGACAACCCCCACCCCCAACATGACCCCAGGAACAGTCTCAAGAGGCCCCCTCTGCCCTCTCCCCAGCACAGCAGCCAGTCTGGGCCCTAGGAAAGGGAGTCTGACCATGCTCTGGGCTCTACTCCATTCCAGAGGAAGAAACCCTAGCTCCTGCGACGGCCCTAGGACCCACTGGCCTGTCTCCAGTGTGCAGCAACGGCCTCCTTAGGGTCACTACATATCATGCCCCTTGCAGAAGGCTGCTCAGGTTAGGCACCTCATCCAGGCCCTCCCTCCCCACCTCCTAGGGTACAAATTGCTGCTAGTTTAAACCTAAACAAGTGTGGGCAGCTTAGAAAACAGTCTTGCTCCACACCAGCTGGATTTCTCCTGTGTCCAGTCAAATACTCATTAGGTGTAACAGGAAGGTTCTGTGATTAAAGCGGAGACGGCCTCGACTTAAGGTCCCCTGTGTCAGCTTGCCTATCAGGGCTAGTGCTGTGCAGTAACAAGGAAAGTCACTTGGGCAGCAGGCTGAGTGTTGCACCTTGCTCCTTCTGTAGGCCTGACCTTAACCTTGGGACCTGAGTCTCTGAAGAGCTGGTCCTCTGATGGTCATGGTATGGGAAGGCCTAACCCCAAGCTGCCCAACTGACTGATGGCCTGGGCCCACCCACCCGAGGGCCAGCTACACAGAGGCCAGACACCTCACTAGCCCTGTGTCAAGGAAGCAAGTCCTTGCAGTAAACCCGTCTCCTACCTGGACTGAACGCTAATTTGCAAGGCAGGCCAATGCATGTCTTGCACACTGCAGGCCTGCTAAGAGCCACTTTTGGGAACACACAAAGGGAGATACTCTAGGAAATAAAGTGTGACAGTCATCTACAGGCCCTCAGCACCAAGTAAAGGCCCAAGTGATGCTACATTGGCCCTGTGCCATGTGGGCAAGTGTTGGAAGCAAGAGGGAGGTGAAAAGCCTGCCGTAAGAGAGCACATGCCCCGCGACACTAACACGAGGCCAGTCTGGAAGTGAGAACTACACTTCCAGGACCAAGAGGGCCACTTGTAATGTAGCTCAGTAAGAAGCAGGCCCTCTGTGAAGGCGGGAATGGGTGCACCAGAGCAGGACCCTCACAGGGATCTGGGCATCTCTTCATTGTCAGGCCAATGTCAGTGAATTTACGGTCCTGTATGCCTCACATGTTTTATGTCATCATCTATATGTTCAATATTGAGAAATTTGAAGGTAGAGTTTTCAAAAAGTTGTAAGAATACACTTACTTGAAGATATTTTTCCTAAGAACACTGAGTCCTGGTAGCTACACAGTACCTTCTCAGTGAGCAGCACAGTTCCTGAGGACGCACAGGGGGTGTGTGACCCTGCAGGTCCCTAGGGGCAGGACTCTAGGTGCAACAGGACCACAGGGCCTCTGAGGGGCTCTACAGGCTGCCAAGTGGCAAGCAGCCAGCCTGGCTCCCTTGGCTGAAAGAGGCTCGTGGGGACCTAAATCCTACTGATGTTGGCTGGAGTCCTGCACCCTTCTCAAGAGGACAGTGGGACACACAACTCCAAATGAGCACAGACATCCTGGGCAGAAATTCAGAGCCTGGACCCACATGTCCCCAACTCTGGTGAAGGTGCCGAGTGTGTCCTTTCAACAGGCTGTCAGCCACAGTGCACAAATGCACCCAAGCCCAGGGTGCTCATGCAACACAGGAGGACCAGAGCAGGCCAGGGACACAGGGACAGCATCCCAAGAGCACTGGAGTGCAACAAGTCTTGTCACGCTGCACTCTGTCTCCAGGGCTGCCAGCCCGAGGTGCTCTCAGCAGGTCAGCACAGTGACCTTTTCCTGGAGTCAAAGAATGGTCTCTCACCTGTCAAATGTGTGCCTCCCTTGTGAGGAGACCACACATGTTGTTTCTGCATGCATACACATAGCCACTGAGCAAAGAAGGGCCAGGGTTGGAAGCAAATGAGACTGAGCCACTGGCCCTGCCAGGGTCTGGGCTAAGCTGCAGGTTGGCCTTTCAATTAACAGTCACTTCTTAGAACTCACAGAAAAAATGTGTCTGAAAAGCTCAGAGTAGCCCCTGAGGATGAAACACACTGTGGATCTGGTTTGAGTTATGGATGTTAATGCCCTATAAGAAGTCTGTGAGGGGTCCCAAGCAGTCTTGCAGTGGATCCCTCGAACCCAAGGCCGCCCTGCCCGCCCTCGCCTCCCAGCCCTCCACACTCACTCTCCTTCCCCTTCTCCTTGTTCTTAAGCTGCTGCAGCTTCTGCTCACGGTGCTGCTTCTCCAGCTCCTGCTCCTGGCGGTGCCTTTCCAGCTTGCGCTGGTGCTCCAGCAGCTCCTGCTGGTGCTTGAGAGCCAGCATCTCCTGCTGCTGCTGCGGGCAGAAGAGACATGGATGTCAGGGCCTAGGGACTCGCCACACCAGAGCCAGCACCCACCCATCTGCCCCAGTGCTCTTCGGGCACTGCAAGGTCTCTCACCCTGCACATCTAAGGGTGCCCCCAGGTATGCGGGAGAGCAGCTGTGGGGACGCACACCCAACCCTCTGTCATTAGATGAGAGCACCAAGGAGCAGCCGCCACCTTGCAGGGTGGGCGCTCTGAGGGGTGGGAACAGTGGTTCCCACTTGGGACAACCACCAAGTGTGTCTTAGGACGTGGGACACATTTGACCCAAGTCCCACAATTCCATCCTAGGAGGTCTCTGAGTGCACAGCCCCTGGAGGAAGAACCTGTATGTAACTCCCCATGGCCTCCTGGATGCGAGCAACCCCAGGAGACCCAGACACACCAAGTGTACTCTCATGAGAGAGGCTGCCCTGCCACAACACGACCCCTGGACACAGATGAACCACCAACAGCAAGGGGCCAGCGCTGGCGCAGCGCAAGGGGAAGGGCACTGAGACAGGAGCCTGAGACTGCCTGTCGACCCCAACATGGTCTGCAGGGGCACACAGCCGTCCGAGCATACAACCATACCTGTTGTGCATATAGTACCTCTGGTCCTCTCAAATACAACATGTTTGAAGACCCAAAAGTGTAAACTGTCACTATGACAAATAGCATCATGATATAAAGGTAAAATTAATTAATTATGTGCAGTAATCATGATGTGAAGATAAATGAAATCCATAAGTGATTTGATCAATTCTTAAGAATATAAGCAACACACTAAAGAGGCAAACAAATGAGAAGTCCCCCAAAGTGGCCAAAGCTACATGGGAAAACTATTCAAGTTCACTAGGTACCAGGTCTGCCATTTTGGGACATGAGCAGAGGAGGCTACTACCTAGCTCTGCCCTGGCCCTGGGATGTGGCTGCCCAGGGCCTCCACCACATCCTTGCAGGGCCTGGGTGCTCCACACACCTGGGTGCCGTCATTCCCCAGTGCTCCCTGAGCTCATAGCTGTGATTCCCATGGGGCTTTGCTGGCCTTACATCACAGGGAGCTGTGGCTGACCACAGGCAACCAGCATGGCCCACAGGCCTTTTTTGTGGAGGAAACCAATGTGCATGCCCCTCACCCTCCTTTAAGCCAAGGCTGCTGGTGGTGTACTCTTCTGATCCCCGCAGGGCAGGAGGACTCCAAGGTCTAGCCCACTCAGGCAGCTCGGCAGCTTTGTAAGACCTTATCTAAAAAAGGTTGGGGATATAACTCAGTACAAAAACCCCTGTGATCAATCCCAGTAGCACTCCCCCAAAAGTTCTTTCAGTCAGTCACAAGTGGGACACCAACCAAAAGGGGCCCAGGGAAGGGTGCTAACAGTGTCCTGCAGGCTCTACTGAGTGCTTTACACTGAGAACTGTGTCCTCACAAGGGCATCAGGAGGTGCTTTACAGAGGAAGAAACAGGCACAGAGAGACACACTGCCTATCGGGGAGGACCTGAGCAGGCAGACTAGCTCTGGAGTGTGGCAAGAGGACCGGGCAGGGTGAGTAACCTGGCATGCTTAAGTGCACAGGTGTGAGATGTGTGCACAGACAGCTGTGGGGGATGGTGTGCTGGCTGTGCAGGCAAGTACATGTGTGGTCTGTGTACTTGAGTGTGTGCAGAAGCTGCACCCTTGGTGAGGTCCACAGGGCCAACTGTACACTTAGGGATATCTCCCAGGCCTGCCTGACAGGGTCACCCCAGTAAGGGCCGAGCTGACCCTGAGCTCTGTGCGTCCTGCAACACCACCTGGTCAGACTCAGGTGGCTGGTGGTCAGTGTGGCCAATGCCCACCCCAGGCCCTTGACATGCACCTCTCAAACCTCACATTTAGGGAGGGCCACGGCCTGGGCTTAACCACTTCCTGGCAGGAGACCTGCAGGAAGATGAGGACCCCCACCTGGGCTTCCGTCAGCCTCCTGAGTCCAGGTCCACAAGGACCTCTGGTTACCCAGCTTCCTCTGGTTAGAGATGTGAGGCAGTACTTACTCAGCATGTCTGTGGCTTCATGAACTTCAAGTCATAGGATGTCAAGAATGAGAAGGAAAAACGACAGTGACTGTAAGACTTTCTAACCCCACCATTCTCATTCTGCCACCCTAAAGTGAACCGTACAGCCCAGGCATGAACACAGGTGTGGGCCAGTGAAATGATTTTTAGGGAAACAAAAGAAACCGGCAGTAGCAATAGGCAAACAAAACCAACACAACTGCTGAGGTAGGGATGCAGTGTGTGGCATGATGTGTGGGCATCCCAAGGCCACAGCACCTTCCACAGACAACTTGGGGTAAAGGTGGCTCCCTCGTCCCTAGCAGAGACTCCAGCTCCAGCCTCCCCAGCTCACTGGCCTCCTGGGATCACTGCCCCAGGGCTACAGGAAAGGCTTGGTGCCACATCCCAGCGCACATGCTGGGAGCCCAGGGACAGGGCCCATCAGCCAGACCTTGGGCTCTGGTCAGAACTGTTAGCTCCAGGGATGGTCACATGCAGCAAGGCCCAACTGGCGGTATGAGCTCCCAGAGAGAGCCAGCAAGTCCACCACACTGCCCTCTGGCCTTTGCCTTCATTAGGGCAGGAGCACAGGGACTGAGTGGCAAAAGAGGGTGTGGGCAGGGGCATACCCCAAGTGGGAATGGGGGTGTGCCTGAGCCAGGTGAGAGTAGTGCCCTCCCTGGGGAAAGACTGCTTTTGTGCAGCAGGTGGGTCTGGCCCAGGAAGGAACGGCTCACGCCCCACCTGGGGCATCCTTGGCAGGGGCAGAAGGGGTCAGCAGGCCTATGGCTGGCTCCCTGCTGGCTATGGGAGTGCTCAGCATGCCTACTCACACCTTCACTCACTGGATACAGTGGCGAGCATGTACCCCCCAGAAGAAGCTCCAGGCTGTGGAAACAGCACTTGGAGACATGCTGATTTTAAGTTAGGTACAATCCAGTGTCTACACTTATTGCCTCACTAACAAGTGCAAAGGTGAAACCATCCCATGTGGAATAGAATGCTGAGAAGCTATCTTTGGCAGACTAAAACTATGATGCACAATTCAAAATAAGATGACCTAACTTTTCTAAGAAAACAGAACCAGTAAAAGTAGATAACCATTATTCTAACTAGATGTTAACATTAAGTTTACTTTTTTTTGGGGGGGGGGTATCAGGGATCAAACTCAGGACCTCGTGCTTACCAGGCAGGCACTTGTGCCACTGAGCTATCTCCCCGGCCCCAAGTTTACTTTTAAGCCCACACAGAGCTCTGAAGCATGTATCACATCCCTAGAATTGAGCTTCTCTGACTGACTTGAAACTTACTAGATAAGATATTCAAATGGAAACCCAACTAGAGTTTTAAAAAGTAAAAATAAAATTCTACTGTGCTAAAAGGACTGAGGTTGGGGACAAGCAGGTAGGCACTGTCCAAGGGAAAGAAAAGAGGAGAGAAATGGAGGGAGGGAGGGAAGAAGAGAAGGAGGCAGAGGGAGAGACAGAGGAGGAAGCAACTCTCAGGCCGCAGACAGCACCCTCAGCTGACTGCGGAAGCTCCCACTGTCCTGTGATTCTCATCCAGCTGAACATCGGAAGACATCCCAGGCAGGTTGGACGAAAGCACACTGTCATGCTGCACCTCGCGAGGACGAGCACTGGTCCATGCCATCAACTGCTGGCCTCTCCAGCCAGGGTTCACACACACTAAGAACATGCCCATCCAGGAAGTCGAGTGGCCTAGAGCCCAGAGGCACCGTGTGACCCACGCATTGCTGGGCAAGACCCCACAGACACCTGGGTCGGGCTGTGTGTCCTGGAGCCCCCTGTGCCACGGCGTCAAAAGGTTTCAGAGGCCAGGATACTTACGGGCTACATACATGCCTGGCTTCCAGCAGCAGCACAGGCCTTGTAACAGCAGCCTTCTGTTTTTCTGACTATAAATGGTAGCAAATGTGCAAATAGGAATAAAAAAAAACTGTTCCTACTCCACAAGTTTAGTTTATAAAATTAAAGCTGTGCTTAAAGTCAAACCTCAAGCCAGTGAGTATCCTCCCATCTTCTGCACAGGAAACGCCTCAACAGAAAGTGTCCACTGGGACTACACTGAGCACTGAGCTGCCGGCGTGTACTGCGGCAGCTGTCCCTCCACCACTGCTCGCCACCAACATTCTGCACGTACGGCCCACCCGGGACTGGCACTGGGCCTCTTCCCTTAGGGCCTCTCCTGCTGTGGGCAGCAGGGCCACCTGCCTGCCTCCTGTGGCAAGCACAGCTGCCGCGGTGCTGCCCTTGAGACCAGCATAGCCCACGGTCTCTGACCAAGGCCCTTCTGCCTCCTCTCTGATATGCCAGCTAGTGCCAGCCCACATGCAACATGCAGTACACGAGAGGTGGCCTCTGAGGACCTGAGCCGCCAGGCGAGGCCGCTGTGGCAGCACCTTTTACCCCTGGGGACAGAATAATGTGCCTACCCACCTGTGTGTGACCTAGAGCTCATACGACCAGCTCCTGAGTAGCACATGCATGAGTCCCACCCCTCTGAATCAACCACAGACTTCTGCTGCTCTGAAGCACAGGCACGCAGCAGGTGTCCAGCCCACGCCGGCCCATGGCACTGTGCCCTGGCGGGGGCCTGCCACCCCTCATAGGCTCCACTTCTCGTCCTGGGTGCAGGCTCACGGCCACCTTTGCTTCTAGCTATACCGCACAACTTCCAGCAGGTACCTGGGGACGAGCATGCAGGTCCAGTGCATCCTGCAGAATGCATAAGTCTGAAAGCCTGGTGCTGCTGGCACGGGAGCCAGGAGGCAATTGGACTGCAGCCAGGCGCCCATGTCCACCCAGAGCTGGCCCTGGTGCTCAAGGAGTTATGTCATGTGGCCTTGTAATGCACTAGTTGTGACTTTCCGTGCAGGCACTCTGAGTTTTTATGACATCTCAGTGACTTTTCTGAGGCTCATTACGTTTC